GAAGGATTATTTAAAGGACCGAAGACTGACGTACGAAACGACGGAAGGACGGAAGTATCGGAAAATTACAGCGGGGGTGGCTCAAGGATCCATATTGGGTCCCGACCTCTGGAACGTACTGTACGACGGATTAATAAAGCTCGACATGCCTCCGGACACGCGTCTGGTCGCCTACGCTGACGACGTAGCAGCCGTAATAACGGCCCGCGACACACATCAGGCTCAGCTCAAACTGAGCCAGGTGATGAGGCGTTTGGACGGGTGGATGGCGGACCACGGACTGAGCCTGGCTCTTTTTAAGACAGGTTTATTGATACTGAAGAGACAGAGAATAGACACGATAATACCGATGACGACTAGGAAAGATTGCAGGACCTACTAACTTCATAGGAATGGAACGACTGGAGACCATAAATGAGGTAAAGTACCTGGGGGTGACTCTAGATACGAAACTGAACTTTTGGCTCCACATACGAGGCGTGACCGCCAGAGCCAGCGAAAGGACCGAGACGAGTATACGAAGACTGCTAATGGGTGTAACCCCACACTACATCATGCTTTATGTAGCAGAGGCATGGGCCGCCTCGTTACGGGTGAGGAGACGCGCAAAGACTATGACGAGCGTACAAAGAACGGGGGTGCTAAGAATCGTGTGCGCGTACCGAACAGTTTCGGAAAACGCAATATTCGCGATCGCGGGCGTTATCGCGATCGACCTCTTGGCAGGCGAGAGGAAACGCATTTACGACCACATAAGCCCAGACATCTCTAAGGTGAACAAACTGTTGAATACTGTGATAAAGTTCTAACCGCCGAATATTAAAAGAGAGATCCCACAGTATCATAAATGCCAAGAATACAGGCATACAAAAAATTACTATTTTAAAAGCGCAATCTGTTCGAAATGTACGAAACAACATGCAACAAAAAACTGTCCTATAAAGGAAAAAATTTAAGAAGTAAGATGTGCTAATTGTCAAGGTAATCATACTGCAAGCTACAAAGGATGTCTAATTCGCAAACAATTACAGCAAAAACTTTTTCCCAAACTAAGAGAGAAAAACCTTCGTTCTAAACAGTAAACAAGCTCAAAATAATACTAATACAAATTCAAATTTAACTGCCAACAGAATTAAAACAAACGTAACATATGTTCAAGTGTTATCAAAACAATATCATGAAAATATAAAGGTAGAATTAAATGAAACAATTACACAGGTTGATCCAAGTAAACTCTCAAGCGATAACAACATCAATAACACAAATAAACTTGAACATATGATGGAGCAACTGATACAAAGAATAAACACTATGCTCAATCTCTTAAGCGTATTAGAAAATAAAATAGCAAAATGGATAGGTTAAAACTCACTATCTGGAACGGAAACGGTCTTATGCAAAGGCACTTGGCATTAAAAACATTTTTAATCCATGAAAATATAGATATCATGTTGATATCAAAAACACACTTTAGATATGACGTTTAGGTGCGAGGTTCAAAGCGGATAGGTAGTGTTTTAGGTAAGTGCGAGCTCGAAAAGTATACGATAACTAGAACGAGGATAGAATAATAGCTATTTGCATGCATAGGGTAGTTAATAGTTTAAGTATATTCTTACCTTGAGTTTTGCTTGTTGATAATTAGTTGCAATAAATCTCTATTAAAGTATTCGAGTGGTACGCGGTCTGATTCGAAAGGTAAAGTTAAATAAATAATACCGGATATTCCGGATATTAAGTTTAATATACAAATACACTTATACTTAAGTAATTCAGGTTTTAATCAATACAATATTTTAACTGACAAAGTTCAGGTTTATCGGAATATTAAGCGAGACAAGAGTTGAAGATCGAGCGTAACGAGCTAACAGAAGAGACAGATCGTAAGAGAGCGAGTACAGCGGTGGAAGGTTCCTTTTTTATCCACGCTACCAAACCCTTCCCTTGACTTAAAATGAGGACACTGATTCATAAAAAGTTATTGCGATAAATGCTGATCCACGGCTCACAAGTCCCTCGCTTCGACGTATCAGGGCACGTTTCCCCATTGTAATTCGGTCACTCCCGTTCACGCTGGTGGGTATCCATTATTCGAAAAATTGTTTTATCAATATTTCTCTTTCAAATTTCGGATTTCGCTTTCAAAAGATAGGCTTCTATGATTTGCTGGTGCTGACCGCTGCCCTGATATTCAATGTTGGTTAGTTATGGGTCGGGGACTCACCTAGCCGAAAAGGCGACTCCCCTGGCAGTTTTTAGCGTCCATGCTAGTCGTGCCACCTATTTGATTTAAGTTCCGAAATTTTTAAGCTCAGATCGGGTCTTCACAAATTAGCGTTCAAATTGTTGAACTTCAGAATTCAAAATTCACAAGTTCAAAATTCAAAAATTATGGTTCAAAAATTATTCAAAGTTTATCGAACTATTCAAAAATTAGCTTGATCGTTATGCGAGTTTTGTTTTCTGGTTAGGGACTTTGTAAGGGGCGATTTCTTTCTGCTGTAGTTATCAACTGTCTATTTATTCCGTCTCGCCCTTACAGGTACTTCTACCCTCGGCTCGATGACTTTTCTAACAAAATTTTCGAAAACTTTGTAGATTTTCCTGCTAGATACCAGGGCTGTTTCAGGGCAAGGCCATGCATGGCTCTACTCCAGAACAACCTCTATTAACGGCTTCCTTCATTCCTTTAATTCTTTGCAGTCAAAGAGAACATGGCTTTCGCTTTCAACTTCTCCACAGTTACACAGTTGGTCTTCACACAATTCTCTTTTATAGAGGTATGACTTAAAAGCACCATGTCCAGTTGTTGCGCAGAAGGTGAAAGAAAAGGCGGGATGTTTCGATTCGATTTATTCTGCTTAACTGAAATCGGATTACACTCTGAACCAATGTGACACGTTCTGGAGAGCACTTGATCGTCAGACCGTCGAAAGCGTTCAGGACAAAAGAAAGCTCGGGAAACAGGCTCCTGTCGGGAGAGGTCACTGTCGAGCGCTCCCTGTCGGCCTCTCTCTAAGGCGTCAGCAATCGGCCCTGCCGCACGTCGGTAGCGGCAGGGCGCTGGGTGCGCTCTTGTTCCAAACACCAGTCATAAACTGTACTGTGTATTGAATGGGATTTAGTGAGTCTGACTGGTTATGAGGTGAAGTCCAATTCGATCACTATGGGCTTGTGGTCACTGGTGGTTCATTCTTTCACCGTCCAGCTAGCCAAGAGGCTTAATAGATTTGACGTGTGCAAAGTCACATCAATGTCCGTCTCCCTCCTTGTGCTGTGTCACGTTGATAGCTGACTCTTTTTATTTGCCACTGATAGCCTGTATTGCTCTATGAATTCTTCAATGGTTTCTCCATTCTTATCCTGTGTATTAGACTAGATCTTTGACTTAACGTTGGCATCCATTCCAATTAAAACTCTTTTGTCTTTCAATTACCTTAGAGTTTTAGCCAACTTGACGAGATAGATCTTTCTGCTGTGACTGAACTGATAATAGACGCTTACCAAATAAATTTCATCAAAGGTTCTGACTATTTGTGCGCAAACACAGTGGGAGTCACACAAGTTAGAAATATTGGTAGCTGTAACACTGTTAGAGTTGTAGACTATCGCGGCTTTAATCACTTCGTCTTTTTCGGCTCCATGAATGGCCATGATACCGCACATACCTGAAATCGCGTTATTCCAGTGGTAAGGCTCTTGTATTAGTGCTACCTGTATGTCTAGATTTCTGCTTATCATGATCTCTCCGAGCTCATCGTTGACTGTTTGCCTTCGGCTGAGGTTCAATTGGATGATCCTCAGTTTCTGGCCCAGTTTGAAATTTTGTAGGGCGTTTGAGTTAAACTTCTTAGCTAGTGGGCAATTGTCTTTGTTTTCGTTCGAATTAGGTAGTTGCGATGGAAATTGAATTGAGGCCGAAGTGTTAGAGCAATGCTCTGGTTTCTCTACGGTTATATCCTGCTTACGTTTTCTCGCATTTCTATACCTAGATTGGTTGACCATTTCGCTTTCGAGGTACAACGCAATATCTAGTTATAGTCTCTTAAGTTTTGGTCTTCTTTGAATCGCCTGTAGCGTTTCTAGAGTAGACCGTTCGATTTTACGTTTAATTGTTCGTTAGAGCGTGTATTCAAGTGTGCATTCAAATAAGCGAGTAGCGAGTGAATAGGTGAGCAATTGAACGTGTGCGAGTGCACATTTGAGCTTCGTTTCGTTACCTTTGCGAGTTTTTCCATAGTTTTCCATGGCTCTATAACTTACAATGATTTGAGCTAGCTGTTTTTCTAGCTTTCGTTTAACTTTTAATTATTTAATTTGATTATTTGTATCGATGTAACAATTTAAGAGCTCATAAAGTCTATCTAAGTGGAACGAGATCAATATTCGATTGCAATTGTAACATTTTTTGTTTTCCCAATTTCCGCATTTTAACTGAAAATTTCATCTACTTAAAACCAAATCTGATTTTACGAGAATATAAATCTTACATATTCATGAAAAGAATTTATTTAATTCTCAATTTTTATAATACAAGCAATCGAATTCCATTGTAAGCTTTTTACGAAGAATCATAAATAATATAATTAAATAAGATTTTCCTCTCTTTTAAATTCAACGAAAATGATTAAAACTACTATAAACCATTGAAGTTATATACGATTTCAGGAATATAAAAAGATTATGTGGAAACTAAAAATAATATATTACGTGCAGTGTTAACACCTTATATCATGGTTAACTTTCGTCCAATGCATATAATGAATATTTTATTCCTTTTTCTGATAAAATGAAAATTAAAAAACATATAAAGCACTAAAAGTAAACGTAATTAGCGATTATCGAAACGATGATTTTATATTCATGAACTTCTTATTCCATCAGGGTGATGCTGGTATATGAAAGATTTTTTTCTATTAATGTTATTACTTGAAAATGTTTATTCATATTCACACTTATTGATAAAATATTATAATAAAAATTAATGTTTTGATTTATAGGATTCAGTTTACGACCACTAGGCCTGAATGAAGATGCTGTTATGCTGATCAGTTATCCAGGCGAACTGTTCATGAGACTATTGAAATTGATGATCTTACCACTTATAATAGCTAGTTTAATTTCAGGTAATGTTTCACAGTTTTTAATATCGTATGTAAACAATTGGAATACTTTTTATCTTTATACAGGGTCAGCAAGTTTAAATGCCCGCATGAATGGAATGATTGCAGTTCGTACTTTGGTTTATTTTGTTTTAACGTCTTTACTGAATGCTATCCTTGGAATCAGTTTCGTATTAATTATTCATCCTGGTAATCCTGGCTTACGAGAACCAATTTCACCATCAGCAAATGATAGAGTTGTAAATATTCTAGACAGTTTATTGGATCTTGGAAGGTTAGTAAGTTGTAGATTATATCTTTTGAAAATAATGTAACTCTTCTTAAATGGCAGATAAAATACAGAACATTACGAATTCCTATTTTTAAATTATTGTAAAAGAATAGAAAACATTTGTGTTGATATCAAGAATCGACATAAAATATACATATGTACTTGAAAACATTACAGAATTAGAAGCTGTACGAGGTTCGTTCAATAAGTCCGTGACTTTAAATAAAAAAAACACTATTTATTTAAATAATTTTAATTAAATATTTATTTTTAAATATTTTTTATTTATTTCTATTTATTTTTTTAATAATTTCTTTTTCAACATAGTCCCCTTTCCATTATATGAGCTTTTTTACGCCCTCTGAAAAGTAATTTTTATCAAACTCCTCAACATACTCATTTGTCGCAGCAATTACGTATCTCTTCGTTGGAAGACAATCTTTTATCCGCAAGCCAAATTTTCATATCAGCAAACAAAAAAAATCAAAAGGAGTCAAATTTGGAGAATAAGGTAGATGAGCTAATATTTTGGAGCATAAATAAAATATTTTGGCCGTTCCGATGGAACTTGTGTAAGCTGGTACATTGTTGTAGTGGAAAGAACATTTTTTTTCGTCATATAGACCTACTTTTCCTTCAGTATGGCATCAAATTGGTCTAATAATGAGGTATAATATTCTTCTGTAGTACTTTATCCACTCTGTAGGTAAGATTGATATTACAACACTTGAGTTCTAAAAAATTGTAGACATACCTTTTCCGGCTGGTTGTACCGTCTTAGCTTTTTTCAGCGTAAATTCACCTGGCCCAGTCCATATTATCAACTAATTTTTTGTTTCTGACGAACAATGAATCCATGTTTCATTAACAATAACATAGCCTCACAAACTCCTTTGAATTAGGTTGAAACATGCTTAAATATTATTCAGACGTAACCACACGAGCTCGCTTGTTATCAGCTGTGAGCAAGCGCAGCACCTATCTTGCAAATAACTTTTTGATGTCTAAACATTCATGTAAAATGTTCTAAGTGCATTCTACTGAAATGTTGAGACCCTCATTAATCTCACGCATTTTCCATTCACGACTGACAAGTATAATGTTATGAACTTTATCTACCATGTCTTGAGTAGTCACCTTTTTTGGATGGTCAGAACGTTCAGTATCACTTGTACTCTTACGGACACAACGAAATTCAGTAAATAATTCTTGAATCATGCCATGCGATAGAGCAGAGTCTCCATAATATATCCTGAGCTTTTCTTCAGTTTCTTTGATTGATTTTCCCCATAGGAAATAATGTTTGATAAGCATACGAAACTCATGTTTTTCCACGATTTTGTTTACACAATGAAAAACTAAATTCAAATAACTGTAAAAAATTTCTAAAATACCGTATTAACTTGAAATATTGTATACGCATTTATATTAGATGTGATTCTCTTACAGTGTAAGATATGTTACGATAACATCAACATCTTCCGAAAAGTCACGGAATTATTAAACGACCTCGTAAATACAAATCATATAAAAATACTTGTTTATACATTCGTGCGTAAAAGTATCCGGCCAAAGATAATTTTGTTTTAATAATGTTTAAAGAATGTAAAATAGAAACACAAATATACCTTCGTCAAGTACTTTTATTATTTTATCAACCACGTGACCTAAACATTTATTGTAATTATTAACAAAATTTTATAATTTTGTAATGGAGAATCTTGGCTGGGCTGATTTCGTCCGTTTAGCTGTCGTCAATTCCCGCGCGCCGCGCCAAGCTGTGAGTGTGTGCGTGTGGCACGCATACTCATGCTAGGATTTTGTTTTCGAGGTGCTGTGTACGGGTTGAATTGACGGCTGGAGCGATCGAAATGGCGCGGAAGAGAAAGAAAAAAAGAGAGAGAGCGAGAGAGAGAGAGAGAAAGAGCCCTCTCTAGTTGCGGATCACCGCGAAAATTTGGAAGAGTCTCTGCTGGGCTTTCACGCGCGCGGATTTAACCGAAGTTAATGGTTTTCCGGAGTTGTCCCCGCGACCTCGTCAATGTTCATTTTCGGAGACGTGCGGGTGCACGGACGAGAATTGGAGTATTGTGCCTGGGTCGCGCCCAGCCGTGCCCCGAAGGATACCCGGTACCGGTTCGTATGGGTAACCGGCGAGGTGCGCGGGTGCGCACGTGAGCGAACTTTATTACTGCTGCAGACACCAAGCAACCGAAGTGCAGTGGGAACAACGGCAATCGCAGCGGAAGTAACAACAACAACAACGAGCGGAATAACAGGTTGAGGCAGAAACATTGGTAGAGCGAACAAGAGGGTGAGCTAGAGAACAAAAAGCGACGACAATAACACCAGCGAGGTAGTCAGCGAGAAGGAGCACACCAGTGACGTCAAACTGCGAATTATTCTAGTCGTCAGAGAGGCTGAAGGTCGAGGTCAGTGCCGTGCTCTTTCTTTTCTCTCTCTCTTGCATGTTTGGGCGCCAGCTGATGGGTGGGTAGTGTGACAGATCTGCCGGCTACCCCGTTGACGAAATAATGGCGGAAATTATTTATCGGGCATTCATTGTAATAATTAGCTTTAAAAAAGGAATCGGCAGGCTGACCAGCCACCGATTCACCTTCGCGCTCGCATTTGTTATTGTGCCGCTTATAGTATATCGGCGTAAGATCGCCGTCTTGTAATCGATTGTTGACAAGTAAAAGATTAGTGTGTTAATCCACTGTTGTGTTTATTCGTCGCTGTATCACTCCTCATCCCGACTTCGAATCTATGCATTTAACGTGGTTGTGCTTGACGCGTTATTCAGTCGTGGGAACGTCTTTTGCTTCCCGAATCCCCAAATAAATAATTTGTGCGGACGGCTGCGAGCTACCCAGACGGAAACGGCTGTTGATCTCCGTTACAACTTAAATAATATATTTTGCTTATTTATAAGTTTCCGGCCAAACGCTACGTAGATACAATTATCATCGCATTGTTAACATTATCTGTTGCAAGTGTGTAAGCACTAGAATTGTATTTCTGTTACACTTCGTAATTAATATCAATCAGTAAATACGCCGAAGCGCATGTCTTTAGATATTCGAAAAGTTGTGATTAAATTACACAATGAAGAAAAAGTTTCATTGAATGGCAAAAATGTTGGTAATAATTTTGGTAATCGAAAAATCACCTGTGAACGATATAATAAATGAATTCTAGAATACTCACACTCTACAAGATAAAAAAATTTCCTGGGAGATTAAGAAAAATCACTAATTGTGTTGATAAAATGATTAAAAGAAAAGCTGTTGTAGATGTAAAAAAGAATGCTGCCATCATTGCACGCGAATTACACGAAAAAAAATAAAGCAGACATAAATCAAAGTTCTATTGCACGCAGACTGAGAGAAGTACGAGGGTGGTCCGATAAGTACTTAGTCTCACCGCCCGATGGCGCCACTCTCGTAAAAGAAATATTCTATCACGTAGTACAACCTTCTCGATGGTTACTGTCAAGATTCCAGCCGGATCGGAGTTGTAGTTTATTTTTGAGAGCGTGTGAAAGCAAGTGTGTCCGTTGATTTTTGAAAAATGGAAAAAGAGCAGTATCAGTCGGTGATTCGATTCTTGTTTTTGGAAGAGAAATCGCGCAGCGAAATCAAAAAGCGCTTGGAAGCTATCTACGATGACTCTTCTCCTTCGATGGCGACCGTCAAGAATTGGCTTAACGAGTTTCAACGTGGTCGCACGACGATTTTTGAAGAGCCACGTCCAGGTGCTCCGAAAACGGCTACCACGGAGGATAACGTGACAAAAATTCACGATCTCGTATTGGCAGATCGACGATTGAAGGTGCGCGAGATAGCTAACATCGTAGGCATCTCAAAAGACCGCGTGGGTTATGTCCTGCATGAAATTTTGGGCATGAGAAAGCTGTCGGCGCGATGGGTGCCACGTTTGCTCACTCCAGACAACAAGCGCAACCGTGAGACAACTTCAGAGCAGTGTCTGACGCTGTTTAAGCGTAATCCGCAGGAGTTTCTGTGTCATTTTGTGACTGTCGACGAAACATGGATCCACTGGTATACACCAGAGATCAAGGAACAGTCGAAACAGTGTACTTTACCCAGCGAAAGTGCTCCGAAGAAGACGAAGACTGCCCCATCGGCTGGAAAGGTGATGGCCACCGTTATCTGGGATTCACAAGGTGTGATCTACATCAACTATCTAGAGAGGGGCAAAACGGTCACAGGGCTGTACTATGCCGAATTATTAGGCCGATTTGACGTAGAATTGCAGAAAAAACGGCCCCATTTGGCGAAGAAAAAAGTGCTCTTCCACTATGACAACGCACCGGCTCACACCTCCGCCGTCGCCATGGCCAAATTTTGTCGAATTAGGCTACGAACTGCTGCCCCATCCACCGTATTCTCCAGATTTAGCCCCGTGCGACTTATTTTTGTTTCCAAACTTGAAAAAGTCACTCGCCGGGCAGAAATTTGAGTCGAATGAGGAGGTAATCGCTGCCACGGAAGCCTACTTTTCAGACCTCGAGGAAACGTATTTTTCAGACGGGTTAAAGAAGTTGGAGCATCGCTGGGCCAAGTGTATCGAACTAAAAGGAGACTATGTTGAAAAATAAAACGCCACTTTTCCAAAATTTTCGTTTTTCTTTTGTAGGCTAAGTACTTATCGGACCACCCTCGTAGGACTTTTTAAATGTGATTTTATGAAAAAAACCACTTATTAGCTTGAAAAATAAGGCGAGATTAGACTTTGCAAAAGTAAACCAAACCTGAACTGTTGAAAACTGGAAGATAGTGCTGTTTTGGAATGAAATTAAAATTAATTTGTTTGGAAATGATGGTAGAAGGCATATACGGTGACGAAAAGGTAGATATGATTTCCGATATCAAATACCGATTGTGAAACGTGGTGGACATAGCATTATGCTATGTGGTGAATTTTCTTCTAAAGACGTAAGTCCAATATTTGAAATAAAAAGTACTCTGGACTCTCCT